AAAAAAAAAAAAAAAAAGCAGCCCCTTGACTGAAGTCCTAAACCTACACACTTGATTGTACCTCTCCTTCTCGGCATTCCCCAGAACGCTTATTCCCCAACTTGACTTTAAGACTCCCAACTGATGATATTGGCACTTCTTCAAAAAGGCTTAGGATCTTCTTTGTGCATGCTGTCCTAACTCTGGTCATCTGCCTTTGGGATCAGCAGCAGGCCTGTCTTCAGCTCAGAGCCCCAGGCAGCCCACAGCCTGTGTACAAGTGAGAATGGATGTCCCATCTTCCTTGCAGATGCAGCCATGAGTCAAGATATTCATTCTGGAGAATAGAACACAGACTAGGACTGTGGTCTGACCCTGAGATACAGGGTCCAACCTGAGGTACAGAGCCCAACCTGCACACCCATACCCAAAAGCCTTGCTCATTTGTCTGCTACCCTTGAATTCTTTCATTGTTAAGCCTAGGAGTTGCAGTGTACAACAGTTTGGAACTTGGCACACAGTTTCCCAAAATTGCTTTGATAAGGAGGAGGAAGAGGAGGGGGGAAAAGAAGAATAATAACAAAAATTGTTACAATTATTGTTAATCATTAATAATATGATTATTAATCACTATTGCAATTAGATTTCTAGTATATTCCTTGAAAGGCCAATTTAATGAACAATATTGATGAACTCTCATACTAATAATATAAGTTTAAATTTTTATTCCTGGGTGCAAGCACTATAAACTCAAAACTAAAATGGAATGAGAAGGAGATGGGGAGGAAGAGAGGGCAAGAGGACAGAATGTTAAGGCTTCCTTGCTTGGGCCACATGTTAAAATTAGTGATGTTTGCTTTGGGCATTTGTCTACCTCATTTTTACACCTTTCCTAGGAGGTCCTGTGACCTGATTGTACACACACACACACACACACACACACACACACACACAGACACCACCCTGCTTCTAGAAGTATGCCATGTTCAGAATTATCTACTTTTCTTTCCCCAGCAAACAAAATTCTATCTTCTTGGTACAGCTGGTTTGTAAGAAGGAAAGCAATCTGGCTGAACAAAAACCATGTTAAGATGAGAATGACGGATGATCATATTGCTCTCCTGGAGGCTTTTTCTTCCTTGTTTTTGTTTTCTTTGTTATTTGTTTGATTTCAAGGGAATGCTTACCAAAAAGAAGGCCCGTTCCCAGCTGGATGTTTGCTTCTGAAAACAGCTCCCCAGAGCTCTTCCTGCTTCCTATAATTTCTTTCCTTTCTCGCTTATGAACTTCTGATTTTCTTGAGCCTCTAATTATTTTCTACAATGATTCCCTTACGGGAGAAGTAGGGACCCTGGTGGTGGGTTGAGCTTAGGGAGAGAGAAATGGAATAGAGGTTGTACTCATTTTTTAGTTAGGGACTACACATAAGAGGTATAAGGCAAGTTCTGAGGCTAGTTTTAGGAGGCCTTTGTGGATGTCATACATCCACACCTGACAGCGGAACACATTCCAGGGGCTCAAAATCCTTGCCAAAAAGTGGTGTTTTCTGTAGTAAGTGGGACATTCGCAATTAGGTTCAAGTCAAACACAAATCAATGCAGAAAATGAGAGCAGTACAGTGTGCATAATATTACTGTCAGTGTATCGTTCAGCTGACATTGAATTGCATGAAATTTTACATGAAGGAAAATTAGCTGTCTAATTAAATGACTGTGGTGAATAGCATTGTTCTATAGTGAACACTAAGTGAGCTAATGATGTCCCACTTTAAAACAAAGGATGATGTGGGAAGAGAAGGTTGTATTTTAATGGATCCCAATTATGCCTGAGTCACTATTGTCGGAGGTTAATAAAGACAGACTCATTCTTAGAATATTGATCTCCCAGTCTATAGAAAGCACTAAGATTATGATCTTGAAATGTGAGACAAAAGCAAATTCATGATTTTAATTCATATTTCAGGACTTCAGTAGGAAATCATTCAAATTACATATCAAAAGACGTTTGCTAGAGTTTCCCCAGCAACTTGCCTCCCCTTCATTTGCACAAATATAAAAGGAATGTGCTGTTCTTTTTCTTGTTAGTTTAAAAACAGAAATTGGAAGAGCTTATTGAGAGTATATGAGACAAGAAAGCTCAAGAACAGTTAGAGGAATTGTCTCATTGGAATC